CAAATTCGGGAACTATGCAAACATTTTATAGAGTAGATGAGAAAATTAATTTACCTTTACACCGTAATTTATTAGATATTTTTTGTTGAAAATTGAAATTCATTACTAAAAGCTGCCACATCGAATTTCTTCGTATATTTACCCACTTTGAAGTGAAAAATATTAAATCAACAAAGAAGTTAGCTACACTGCTAAAAACAAATGAAATTTCCGTTGATCATAATTACTAATGATGCAAACTTTGAGTGCAGTGACGTCCTATTTTGAGGTTTTAAATTAAATTTCAGAGGGTCCAAATTTATTAAATCGAATAATTGCTTGAATAAAACTTTCATAATTGAACACGCACGCCAAGCTTGGAAATATACACTTCGAATAAATATACATTCGCGAGATCTCGTTACTGATGTACTTCAAATTCTTCTTCAAGATCGGAGGAAACCTTTAACTAGTTAAGTTGGAAAATTTACTGCAACGATCCTTGTTAGCGAGGCTACGATATACGTGCCGGTGGTCAGAACTTATCGTAACGTGTGGTCGTTATTGTATTTGCAAAAAAAGGAGTTCAAGGAAAATTGTTATCCTAATTCATTGAATAATTCACGAAAATATGTTTCATTTTTTTTCTTTTTTTGGTGAAAGTATTGATGAGGCTCTATAATAAAATTATTCCGAAAGCACGATAGACAATATATTCAAAGTATGAGGTAAAGAATTTTAGCTAATTATAATGGAAATGATCGGAAAATCTCAGTGAAAAAGTAAATGCGTAAGAAAATATCTAAGGTTGGTTGGTTAATTAAACGGCAATTCTCTATAGATAACGTGTTTTTAGTCGTTGAAATTCATAATTGACTTTTCTCCTCTTTTTCCAATAAAGAAATGATTTTTTTTTTTTAATGTAATTAGCTACGTCACCTTAACTTTAAGAACAATATTTTCTCATAATTACCTGCCGGATATTGAAAAAATCGGAAATAACATAATCATTTATTCTATATACGTCCTCGATTTAGGTCTAGCATCAGATCGAAAAAAATGTATCCTTCAAAGAACAATTTTGAGTTATGTACAAGGGTGTTATGTACTTGAAAGTTAACGTGATATAATATACAAGCTTGAGATTGCAAAATCAGCTGCAAAGTCGAATCGTCGTGTTGCTCTTTTTGTAATATCGCGAATAATCTTTTTTTCCGTGTGTAATAATAGAAGTATCGTTTTTATTTGTATATATTATTTCTACAACGCAATACTACGTATAACAGTAAAGAAAATCTTTTACCGTGAAAATCAATTTCCTTCGCTGCCACAATTCTTGTTACGGAAAGCCTTTGAACAACCGATACCTTATTTTGTTTTGTCGATAACACTTTAAATTCTCTGCCTTCAATGTTATACTGGCAAGCATTTATTAATCCGTTTATTTGTTATTGTTCATTTTTACGTACGCATTACGATCTATTGAACTTTTTAAGCATCGGTGGATAAAAAAAGACGCATATCTCGCGCGCACTTTATTTTTATTCGACTTTCATGAACGCGTTGGGAAGTTTGAAAAGGCAGAGTCGAAGAGGAATTTGAGCTCAATTCAATATACAAAATATATATGCGTGTATATGTGCCTGTTCCAGCTACAGTGAGAATTCTCGATCAGCATATATGGGCGAGCAAATGGCAAAATATGAATACATGCTTCGACCATAGAGCTTTCGGGACCCGTTGCATTAAAAGAAAAAATAGAAAAAGCCTATAAAGTATCGCTTGACTTAACTTTTTCTCTAAAACCGTATAAGATCGCACCAATGATCATTAATTCTGACCGTCTGATTAAATACCTCTTTTTACTTTTTTTTCTTTAGTTACGTAGTGTGCGGAAGGCTGCATCGTTTATAAATGCATCGAGATAATTTTCAATGATGATGATTTCAAACATAATTGAACTTTTTTAAAACTCGCTGCAGCTGTAAATTTCACTATTTCGTTGCTCTTATTAAATCAAACTCGTACAGAGTAATTTTTTATCAATAATGCTTCGAGTTCTTTAACCGATGTCATTATATCACAAAAAAACGTGTCAATGTATCACTCCCCTGTATTAAATAGTAATTTTGGAAAAAGATTCAAGCATTTTATGCGGCAGTGGTAAGGGTAATCCGTTTCATCAAGCCCTAACGTGAAATTGTAACCCTCGTTCTTGCTTGGCCACGTACGATGTGTAAAAAAAGACAGCACAGAGGAGGAGAGATACGTGTATCGTACGTATGGGCAAAATTCCAAACTGGGTTAATAGCCTTTTATCTGGCGAACAGGCCGCATGTGTGAAGACTCAAAAAAACGAAACCCGTACGACTCGACAAGACGTTGTACTTTTCGTCTTGGCTGTATACAACGCACTTTACAATCGTAGATTGTATTGCAGATAGATAAAGAAAGAGAGAGAAAGAGAGAGAGGGAGTGAGAGAGTGACATCGCATCACAGGGGGGAGTGAAAATTTACGGGCTCGGCGTGACTTGAATTTTGCACGTCAAAAATCATCGCGCGTCGCAAGCCTAACTATATTTCCTGGCACACAAGCTATCATCTTTTTCGCGCGCCTCGGCGTCTGGCCAACTTGCGTCTTACCCTCATGCATACGCGAACTTACTACGAATGAATGTTCAAACATCTAAAGAGAGTATATGATACTTTGGATGGATTTAGTCGCTGTGAATAAAAAAATGAAGTACGGGAAATGATAAGCGACGGCACGTGTGAGCTTACGCCTATCCCTCCACGGCCTAATCGATTATTTTACTTGCGGCGAGCGCCAAGAGTCTAAAAATTCTATAAGGTATATTGTAAGAACATTTTTTAAACTTCTAAAGTCAATCTTTTTATGAAAAGTCCACTATACTCCGTTTAATACGCGGCCAAAGCATCCACTGTATACGAGTGAAACGTTTGGGCATAAAGATTCATTTTATTTCCGCCGAACCAATGATTACTAGAGATCGTTAAAATTTTGTTATAAACATCGTTCGCGCCCGAAACTTGCGGAAAATTCTTCCTTTCTGTCCAAGTCCAATATGTATCGTTTTCTTTCTCTCTGACCACGTCTTTTGATCACTGGACTTGGTAGCATAAATATTTACGTTCGCGAAAAAGTACGAAGCACGTGCGTATTCTACAAAATAAAAGTCGAGCTTTCGACCTGTCTCGCTCGTGCCTGCGACGCCTCGTCTCTTTACATTTTACAGACAAGTGCTTGCATAAGCATTTATGTATCGTTATATACGCAGCGTACATTGCGTACGTGGACTTTGTGTAATGCATGCATTGCACGCGTTCAGTTCGACAGGTGGCAAGTCATGAAAGTGTCTTTATACATTTAGTATAAGTCGAATAAAAATTTTACTTTGTGTATTTCGCGCGACTTTGGGAACATGCCATGTGCGACAGAACGAAAGATATTAATTACGCACGATGTTCGCCCCCTCCCCTTCCTTTTCCTACGTTAAAAGAGTATAATTCATATAAAGATACGTACAGTAGTAATTAATGGCCTTTGTAACGATCAAACCGCTTACATCGTTTGATCGCAAGCTCGCGCACGCGTCAGGTTGTACATGACTTATTTACGACGTTCGATTTTGGACGCTACATTGTGAGTGAATAATGAACGGAGCTGCAAAATATCTTTGTTAATGCGTGAAAATCGAAACAATCGCACAACTCGTAACGTTGACGACGTTTATAGTTGAAAATTTTATCGTGCAAAAAAAAAACTACTGCTCCAAATTCATTGTCCGACGATCCTCGAACGCTCGTGATACACACACGCGCGTCCCGTTCGAATGTCGACGCGCCAGTCAGCGCATTGTACACGCTTCAATATAAAATTATAGGCCTCTTCGAATTAATATGAAAGCAGCATCGACTGAGTTCACTTCTTCTTTTTTCCTTCTGCTTAACGGGCGCCTCATTATACATGTATGCGTGCTGCGCCCAATATAGACTCGTCTTATAATACGTGGTCGCAGGTCCGATCGCTCATAGGCCTAATCTCCGACGATAATATCCGCGCGAGTTTTCAGCTTCTTCGGATACAGCACGACGGAGCTTTCGCGCGCTTCGCACGCAGATCGCAATCCATTCAATTTTCTCCCCGCGAATGGAATACAAATTTTCTCTCCGCACCATTTTACGAGGAGCTGCTCTCGAGCTTTTATGCAATATGTAATGTCTGGTAATACGGCAGCGCGACTGTGGCGGTAGATCGAACGGAGAACGTATATCCGAGGCTCGCACCGGCCTTATATAGCGCGTGCTTCGACGCGTTAACTCGTGGATTTAATATTGATTCGGCTCATTGCTAGACCTATTCTAATGGATATAACGTGATGGAGCCGCGCTGCTGCTCCTATTATTATATGCAGTCCATCTCGAGATCTGTCGCGCGCAGAACATGTGTGCGACGTGCATTATTGTTATTATTATTAACATCATCGCGGTCGCGGAAGTCAATTCAACGTGGAGGGAAAAGAGTAGTGTCTTTTTGCTCGAGGCAGAATACGTCGGAGAGAAAGAGAGCGAGATTGCGTTATTCGATATTGTTTGCGCGCGTAAGCGTACGAAATAGCGCGAAAACATAATGCAAATATAGTCGATATTTTTTCTTTCTGCACAATAGCTAGAGTTCAGTTCGCGTATGGTGCATTTGTTCACGTATTTTTATTCTTGAAATTTAAGTTTATTGACACTTGTCAATGTATTATGAGTATGAACGAAATAAAAAAACAAAATAAAAAGCCAGACTTATATCTGCGTTGTACGAAAGTGCTTGCGGAACCATTATAAACTTCATAATTTATGAATATTATTTTAGGATCGGGAATAAAATTTTATCGAAAATTCATTCGTTCAATTTCGATATGAAATTTGGGCAAAAATTCAATTGAATCAAAATTATTTTTTCATACCATCAAGCGAATAAATAAATTTGTTAAAATGCTCAACCTACCGAAACTTCTTCTCATTGTTATCCGCCTTTTTGAGTTAAGATCTCAGCTTTCACGCAGATATCTACACCTTGTTCAGTCTCTTTTTTAAAAACTAAAAATTATTAATCTCTGTAATTCTTCGAGCACTCGAGCACTTTACATACGCTTAAAAATGCTTCAAGAGTCAAACGTATAGTTTCCTGGCACTTAACTAATCCTTTTTTCACGACCAACAGGTATTATCAACTACATATAGATATATTACTACTGTATAGACGGGGGCAGGCGTCGTCGCTCGAAAGCTCGAAACGGGTCTGCGTGCGCGCGAAAAGTCGACGAGTTGAGCAGAAAGAAGAAGAGCGTCGCGCACTCAGCTCATACACGCACACATAGCCATTATTCGCACACACAGAGCTACGTGCACGTTATGCGCGTCGCGCAGGATTGTCGCGGTGCTTTTGATTGTACCAGAAGAGACGCTCCTCCACCGCCACCGACGCCGGCCTGTGGTGCGCGACGCAACTTTCGCAGTCCAATGTATACAATATAGATGTATAGCTAACTCGCCCCCACGTGCGCTCGCGTACTCTGCCTGCGTAAAGCTCGAGCTTGCGCGTTCGCAGCTTTGCAAATTGACGCTCATCTTTCTCTCTCTCTCTCTCTCTCTCTCTCTGTCGGCTCTCGGTCGCTCTCGAGACACTTTCGTTCATGTCTATATGACAAAAGTTACGCGCGTCTTGAGCTTTTTTAGTTCATTTTGTTCTGTTTAGTTTATAGTGTGATATGCATGCATTGATTAATGCCAGTTAATTACACTTTAAGAAAGGCTATAGTTAAATTGAGAGCTTTTTTCGGTTATTGCGAACGTATTGATATTCACTATGGCACAAATGTGTGGGTATTTTTACCTTATTAGTTTTTAATTATTGTACACGTAATTTGAATTCTAAACTTTTTATCTAAACTGTTTCATTTTATAATTATTTTCATTAAAGATTTGCTTGATCGACCCAATAGACTAATTTTTAATTTATTTAATTCTTCATTTTTGCAGCAAATATTGCGGTTGAGGAACATTTCCGGCTCCCCACCAAAGAAACAATGCAAAATTTAACGCTGACAAGAGACATCGGACGACTGTCGTTTGCTCAACGACTTTTTTACGAAAGAAATGGTTTCTTGGTTATACCACGTACGATACCAAAAGAAATTTTGGACAAATGTAGCAAGAGGTAATGACTCGATGATGGCTCAATAATTGCAAATGTGAAAACGATCAGGTTTTTGCAACGTTTTTTCTTTTTTATTTAAGATTCGATGAATATGCAAGCGGAAAAGTACCCAAGGGTTACACCACCGTTATGAGAGACATAGTCGACAGAAGTTCGGTTAACAAAATTCAAGATATACTGCACGATGACGCGTTTCGCGAGTATTTCGAAAACCAACATCTTCTGGACCTAGTAGAGGCCTTCACCGGACCTAACATAGTGGCAGTGCACAGTATGTTGATTGCCAAGCCTCCTGATGTGGGCAGTGGAAGCTCAAGGTACGAAATACACGAATTAACATTTATGACAAAGTTTTCGTTAATTTCTCATGAAACATAAACATAACTAAATTTTTTATGACGGTGAACGTAAACATGTAAATAACGTTTGCTGTTATAATTTTATGTAGACATCCACCGCATCAGGATTTGTATTACTTTCCATTTAGACCTGCAAATAAAATAGTAGCGGCATGGACCGCTATTGAAAAATGCGATAAAGAGAATGGATGTTTACACGTATTTCCAGGCTCGCATCGTTCTTACGGTCTCATGAACCACGCTTATCCCAAAGATACGGTGAACAAGATGTACCATGGCATACAGGTTTGTTTAATATTTACCTCGTACAATATTGCAAACGATATTTATAATGCACTTTCTTAAATATTGGGAATATTTCTCAGTTGTAAATTCCAGATCTGTTTAATAAATCATGTTTTTAATTGTTCTTAAAAATGTTTAGGATCTACCTGATAATATAAATTGGGTTGATGTGGAAGTTGAACCAGGTGATACTATTTTTTTTCATCCTCTGCTAATACATGGATCATGGAAAAATGTATCCACACGAACTAGGAAAGCCATATCTTGTCATTATGCAGCTGCAGAATGCTATTACATTGATGTAAGTATAAAACCAGATAAAAGAAAAATTTGCATTGAACATAAATTTTAAGTGATTCATCCAACTTCATTCATTTTCAGGTAAATGGCACAATACAAGAAAGTATTAAAGATGAAATCTTATCAGTTGCTAAACGCCGATTTCCAGGTGCTGATGATATAACATTTGCAGAAATTTGGAATATGAGATCATCTCTTGTACGAGGAATGAGATCCTCATTATAATATCAATTGCAGATTTTGTTACTTGAGATTTCACAAGGTGATGGAATAAATTTGGATAATTTGATTAGGGTCAAATGAACATAGTTCAGAAGAAGTTGTCAAAGCGATCCCTGCATCGCCTATTTTATTTAAGTCTGCATTTGCACTTCTTTTTTGTTTAAATTTTAAACGATTATCAGATAACTGTAAAACATAACAATATTTAAAAACTGGATCTCTGTATTGGTTTTCTTGACGAACGCTTGCACTTGATGTCCGGCAAGCTGAAAGACACAGCTGAAAAGCATCTAAACTTTGAAGTCTTAATTTTAGGATATCTTTCCCTTGTTTATATTTTATTGATTCTCTGGCAACAGAAACACTTGGTGATGCTTTTTTATTTTTTATCTGGAAATTTTATTTTTATATTGTTATTGTTATTGTAAAAAAGGCAACAAAATAAAATGTTGTTCTTAAATTAATTTTTACCTTGTTAGAATTTAGGCAACATGATACGCAGTACTCAAAAATTGCACAGCATCCTTTAGGATTACATGATTTACAAGAATATTTTTTATTTACAATAGAAGGCACATCAGAAACATTTGACATTTTATTTAATCCTTTTACATCACAGCAGCCATTTTGAAGTACTTGGCGTCGAAGACATACATTACCTTGATCATCAGCAATTAAAAATTTGCCCTATAAATGAGTTTGATTTAATTTTTTTTATTTACTACGTGAAGAAATATCAATATTAGGTTTGGCATTAGGATACCTGAACAGAATTGCGACATGTATCTAAAGAGCCATTGCTTATAAAATGTCCAGAATTCATAACTTCATCAGACATGGCATTTCCTATATCATTCATAACTTCTAATCTCCATAATAATGATTTTCCAGAAGATTTACCATAATTGTCATCAGTATCTTCATCGCTAAGAAGTACATCATTTTCATTTAAATTTATATTCTCCATATCATCAAAATCATTTCCAAATATTCCTAATTTCTGTGCAAAAATTGTTTTAATGTTTAATCATTTTCAAATTCCTTCAGTTAGATAATGGATCATAATTAAATAGTTATTCTTCAACAAACCTCACTAATGGATGAATTAAGTACTAAGTATATAAATAGTAAAATAACAAGAGTAAATCCAATAACAAGTCGTCGTCGGAAGTACCTTGACACTGTCATCCAACTGAACATTATACTTATTATTTACTGTAGATGATTGAAATAACTAAATCTATGAAGTTGATTATAGGAATCCTCGTGCATTTGAAAAAATAAAAGATTTCATCCCTTCTTAACTCATGAAGATTCATTCTGAACATCATAAAAATGTCAATATCTGAAGTAAATATATTTTGTTTAGCTATCCTTAGTATTTGCATTCACATTGTTGAAACGTATAAATATAAACTAACAAATAATATGCTCACATGACAGGTTAAGTTATATCACAAAATGCTCATGATACAGAGCACACGGTATTAGTTTAACGCAATATGTACACAGTAGTCGATAAAAAATTGCAGAAAGTAATCAAAAAATGCTTCGAAGATCGAGTTGAATCTTCGTTTCAATGAATTTGAAAACGTAAACAAAACCTTTTCATGCAAACTACATCGCAGAAGCACAACAACGCGAATGTATATGACGGCAGTTGCTTTGATTTAGCGTAGACAGATGACACTGCGAGATACGGTTTTAGATTCTGCATGCGCGACACATCGTTCAACACAATTCGTGCGTTGGTATCAATTTTTTCTGCAGTACCTACAACAGACTGATAAATTATCGTAGAGTCGCACACGATGTTATTCGTATTGATTTATTGAAAAACATAGGTATGGTGCGTTATTCTTTAAAGTATAATTGTGTTATAAGAAAATATGAATGATGTAAATAATTATAAACTTTTAAATTGCAGTATTTTCTTTTGAATGAATTATAAACTGACAGTTTTTATGAAATTCATCTATGATTACTAATAATTATTATGTATTCCTAATTCTTGAGGAAGAAATCGAGATATATAACTCACTACACAATAAAAATAACCGGTAGAGATCTCAAAAAAATGCTGGTAATTTTCATTTTATCATTAGCTTAAGTATCTCCTTTTAACAAGCACACAGAGCCTATATTTATTTGCACATTACTAGATAAACTCTTCTCATAAACGAGTGTATATGCATGTGTAACGTGGGTGGAACTTATTCGTCGGTGGGCGAAAGCTGTTGGGAAAAATATGACGGAAAATGTATATTAAACGTTCAAATTTCAGTTTAGCTTGGAATCAAAAAGACATTTTAAAATATATTCATACATTTTCATACCTTATAAAAACTATAAATGGGTTTTCTGTATGAAATAAATTAATATTGACTCAAAAACAGCCTGCATTAAATTTTTACAAGCGATATCGTCGTTTATGGTCGCAATTACGCATTTCATAAACAAATAACAAAACGCGCTGAATCTGATCGTGTGAAATAAACTTACTTTTAGAAATATACGTGAGAAGAAGAATTTCTTGGAGGTATAATATCATTTCGAAAGAAAACAATATTTACTAATGGGATTAGTACATATACGTTCGGCCAACTAGCAAACGGCAGCATAGCAATTTTCGTAAACATTAAAATCAAAGCAAACCGCTGGTGGGCGAAACAGCGGATCGAATATCCCAGCAAAATTAAAATTTGTAAGAAACAGTTTGAAAGCCATCGGACAAGGCACTGTACATAAGAAAGGCTCGCGAGGAGTTCTCAGTTTTGATATTTTCCTCGTATCGATTCAAATTTTAGTTAAAGAATTATTTTGTGTAGAATAAACTTGCCAAAACTGAAAAATACAAATTTCATAAAGTAAGTGCTAAATATTAAAGTTCTATAATATAAAGTTACATCACATCTGAAACATCAAATTTGTTACTGATGATAATTTAATTATTTTTTTATGACTGCGAACTTTGAGTGGGTAAAATAAACCAATTTTGCGATGAATATTTATAACGTGAACAAATATTAGTTCATCCTCGGTCTCGTTTTGAGATTCAAAATATAATGAGTTGAAATTGCAGATCGAATAAAAGGCACCTATTCACCTAAAACTCTCCGTTCACCAGAGGGGTCAATTAATGTTTTGAAAAAAACGTTTGACTTTGACGCAGCCAGAAAAATTTTACAGCTCAAATTTAGTTTACCAAACATGCCTTAAAAATAACAATGTCGGTACTATTTGCAGGAAATACTCACATAGAATTTAGCCTAAACAACAAAAATTAAACAAAATTATAAATACTGAGCAGCTTCAGAAAGAAAATTTCTGTCGGCAAAAATTTCATTCTTATTCGCTTTAAAGTTGTTAAAATCGTCAGCGACTCGCTATAATTCATATCTAGAATTACGATCGCAATATCACACCTCATTACTTGGCATTTTTCACTACGTACTGCTAAGTCTCACTTATTTTCCTTAATGCTCGCATAAGCAACATTCTTGAACATATCTTCGTCGCCGCTCAAAGCAGTTTTGATTTCGCTTTAGTCTGACACACAACGTGGTCGCTTGTCCTTTGTGTGCCGCAGAGCCAATGAAAGTAGATTGTATACAGTCTGAGTGGGAGAATACGAATAGCTATGGGTGATGATAATTATCGTAAATATTTTCGAATACATCAACGATATTCTCATGTTAAAAGGGAGCGCCACGCGGTTCAGTACTCACACGTCGAACAACCGAGCAAGACCGATCGTTTTCACGCGTATCGAAGCTGAGCAAGTGGAATTTTTGTGACGATAAATGCTTCTACAGTAACTGCTCATCGTATCAAGTCGCTGAGGTGAGTAACGACCGAAAAAAAAAAGAATTTATAGCAGTATAATTTATACATTACTATTTAAGGTAATTTTCTATCTTTTAATTGCATAATCTTTACGTAAGTCTGATAAAATTTTTGAGTATTATGAATGACCGCGAATTTTCTTACGATTTCACTACGAGATAAGATAAACGAATTAAAACAATTGAGAAGAAGTGGTTAGCTTCACTCTTATCGATGAGTTGTTAACCTTTCGTCAGCTTCACGTGGTTGAGTTTCATAAACGCGACTGCATGCCGAAAATAACTGGGGTGTCATGACAATTGCTGGGTAAATAGTCTGCGGTTGCTCGATCACGGGAGTCCATCGCTCGACAAGATACACGTTTTGCCGAGAATCGCAAAAGCGAAAGAATTATATGGTTGTTAGTGCGTTCGTCGACGGCGCGAGGAAGCAGAGGCTCTCACATTACTGCTTCAATGATAAACCAAAAGATTTGGTAAGTAATTATAGAATTATAGCAGATTCACTGGCAGGGTCGCAATAATAATTAATATTTGTAAAACTATCATCAATCTATTTGAGATTTAAGGAAGTTTCGAAACGTAAAAGAAACATATTTAATCGGTCTGGAACAGGACTGCATGGATTATTTGATATGTTAAAAAACGACCGCTTCCGTTTTGTTTTTTCGATATCGGTTCAACAAACCTAAACCTAAACCTAAACCACGAATAAAGTATTAAAATATACCTGAATTATGAAATGAAACGTAAAAGTCCAATTTTTTCAATGATTTTATAGGTAAAAAAACATCTCGATATAATTTTTAAATCGACTTTTGTGTTGGGTTATTCATTTCTTACGAACTTGATATCTTCTGCGAACATGCTAATATATGCAACAGTACACTTCGTTCGTTCGACTTTTGTCAACCGGACACATAATTTGCGCATATCTAATCAACTTCTTTCTTGGAATCGAATCGCATATTTGCAAGGCAGGGATACAATTTCTTCTATCTCTTATTTCCAATTCCGGCAGTAAACCGTGTCGTTACTTGCACGAATCGTATTTTTATTTAAAATGAGTCATCTTTAATCTATTCTTGAAACATAAAACATAAAACAAAAAATCAGACAATCGAAAAAAAAATATCTGTTCCAAACAACCAAAATTAAAATTTTTAACAAATAATACTTAGAACGAAATTAAAATCAGCTTTGAAATTTTGACTTTTCATAATTATGCTTCAACATTCGTTTGATTTATTCGATAATTTAATTAAAATTCGATTCTTTTGTCTAAATATACTTTTGAATGGAATTTATTTATCCATAACGATCCAGTTAAGCCACTTTAACTTTCAAATGAAAGCTTCATCGAATGCTGTCTATGGTACATAACGTTTGAACGACTCATATGCAATTGTAACGTCGGGAGAGACACACATTTAATTAATAAATAATTGATCTTAATTTAACGAGAGAGAATGAGGAATAATAGGTGAAATGAGCGAGTAGGAGTTATTACTGGGTATACGGACTTCAGGTAGTGGTAATTCTGGCCGATGTAAAGCCGGAATGTGCAGCTATGCTTATACACATTTCTCTACTTTGTTGGACGGACGGAAACGGATTTAAGCTCATCTAGTGGACAAGTAAAATCTATTCGCGGTCATTCAAACTATTCAAATACAAAAATTGAATTACACCTAGGCTTGCTGAACTAATTACAAACAAGATGCGTAGGCCTGGTGGACGATTCTCGGTGTCTGCGTAAATGGCTCAACCCACTCAGCTCGTCGAATATTTGTGGCTCAAGCTACAACTCGCTCAACCGACTGCTGGTTGACCCGAACTGCAGTGGTTGGTACTGGCGGTACAAAGTTTCATGAGCTCCGCACACCCTATAAGATGATAGACGAATCGCGCAGAAGCCTTCGCTGGTTCTTCTTAAATATCCTGAAGTTCAAGCACGGTCGGGGAGTATACAACTAGATTATCTTGCAATACTTGTTGTAGATCTCAACTTCGCTATCGGGTGTATAATTTTTATCACTCTTGATCATGATCCACATGTGCCGCTTACACATTTTCAAAATTTCGGATATTTCTTACGCAACTCGTTTTTAGTTATCTTTAATTTAACAGTTGAACTAGTGAAGACACGCGTAATGTGTCCGAGTGCTAGCTCGGAAGATTAAATTATACCGCCGAGGCCACGTAGGTACTTGTTCGTAATGTTGCAGACAAGGATTGTCACCTAGCGGGTGACGAGACAACGTATTTAAGTAAAATATAATATAAGGTTTATTGAAAATTGACTTTGACTAAGAATTAGGTTAAATAATAGTCATAATAATCAATACAATGAAGTTGTCCCGACCGTGAGTCGCGTAGCAGCAGCAGAGCGAACATGTGAGCAAGTAACCCAGTGGGGTCGTTTCCTGCAAGATTTCTCATTATATTCAGTTGTTTACTCCAAGTACCTTCCCCTTTTTTATTGCACAACGGAGCAACATTCAAATCTTTCGTGAACGCGTGGGACAACGGATATCGTAATTTTCCAATAAAGAACCTGAAGGAGAGCTCCCGCGCTTAAGAAAGAGTCGATACTTACAAGATAGGCGAAGTACCGCGGTCCAAGTACATCGACCGGTTACAGCACGATTGTACAAAAATTCCAACACGTAAGGCTAGCGCGGCGTCAAACACCTCTCGAATCGGCTTCGTCAAACCACGGGTCTAGCAAGTGTCCCAGCACGATGCTAATCTCACGATAGCCAAAACAGATCTGAACTCGCGAACGCAGTTCGTGAGTCAACAGAGGATAATTCCTCTACAATACAGCGTCCTGCCTTAATCCGCGTGCCTATCGAACGCTCGTTACAATTGAAAACTGAAGAATGAATATACGACGTAGTTCACATCTTCCTAACGTCCAGAGAGTCGCAATGAGCTACATACCGTAACAGTTACATAACTCTCTCAACTATTTCCTTACGTGATCATGAACTGGACATTATCAGGTGTGAATTATCACACATTCTATACTTGATATCTCTTATACTTGATCTTACACTTGATTATTATTTTAACGCGCAATATTAATTTAACAAATAGACATCACCCGATGTCGACAAATAATTATTATCGTACGGACGTGATTTACATGTATTTTATTATACTAGACGTTTAAGACGCGCTTCGCGCGCGTACATTTTTCAGTCAGTTTCGAAAAAGTTGCTATTTTGACCGTAGATGTCACTTTACTACGTTTCCACTCGAGTCAAAAGTCAGTCGACCAATCAGAGGGCGAATAGATTGGCTTCACTTTTAGGTCCATCTCTTTTTTATAAGTTAGATAGTCTTTTAACCTTTATTTTATTTAACTAATTGTTGTACAGTGGTCATATACAAAAATAGCATTTTTTTATGAAGAAGCTCTTGGTTAATGAATTGACAGCAGTTTTTAAAATTCATTAGAGCAGAAATTACGCTCAGAATCGACACCCATAACAATCAAATGTCTATACGTGGATTCTGAGAAAACGTTATCGTTTTAAAATTTGAATCCGTGGCTTGTGACGTGTCCAAAAAATATCAAAAATTCAGCTACAGTGCTAAATGAAATTTAAAGAATGAAAATCTAACATTGAGTCTCTGGAGATTCAGAAATATACCTGTAGGACTTAATTTTTGGAGACTTTCATTTTTCAATGTACTCTTTAAGGAAGCTCGAACGAAAATGCGTTTGTAAACCACGGGACTGAAACTTCGCGAAATGATTCTTCACAATCACACATATTGATTGTAAAAAGAAATATGTGTTAACGACCTTATTTAAAAGATGTATCAATGTAAAGTTGGTTAATTTAACATGGGAGCATCTAAATTTTAGTCACATTTTAATCCCTCGCGATCGTAAGCCGTAAGAATTTAGAAATATTAGTATTTCATTGAAAAGAAAAAAATCATAAGCTTTCGAATGGCAAAAAAACTAAGGTTATTGACCTATTTATAAAGTTAGAGATGAAACTTGGATTCCACAATGTTTGCACAATGCGACCGCCTCGCGCAAAATGGCGAGCGATATTTTTTCTTAAATTTTTTTAAATATATAATTGGAGAATTTAAAAAATTATTAGATATCAAAAAAATTATTAAATTTATTAATTTTTAATAAGATTGTATCATGAACCAGGCATGCACGTAGAGAGCGCAATTGTAGAACAGCTATACGCACTCGAGTCTACGACGAATCCTATAAAACTCCTGTATAGTAAGAATTTAGCAGAATCCCATAGGAAACTTTTTCAAGGGAATTTTCTGGGTGAACTTCTCGAGAAAGTATTACATCAATTTGGATAGATTTTGACCCGCCGAATACTATAGAATGAACTTTGTGCCCAATTCAGCTAAATTCTCAAGAAAATTGAGTTCAAAGATTCGGCATTAACGCATATTATTATTATTTTTATTAGTATTATTATTATTATTATCATAAATATTATTACATGAGGACGAATAAAAATTTGAGCTATTTTTACTATTCACAAAAAAACGAAATTCTCACAGGAATAATTATATACAAATGACAAATAAAGTTTTCTTTTTTGTAAGGGTGCCAGCTAAGGGTCTAGCCAGTTAACTAAATCCGTTTCAATTCACGACACGACGTTTGAACACTCGTTTGAAAAATAACATTTTCAACAAAAGTAGACAGCTGTTTTTTAATCCTATCATTATTTTAATTTGAATAAACTATTTTCCTCGAGTTTAATTCCCCCATCTTAAAATAATATTTAGTTTTCGCTCCGCAGGGGCAAAATGTTACTTGAGGTTGGGGTGGCGTGAAAAAATTCTGCTTTGTGCTACCCCAACGTACACACAAAACCCAAGCCTAAAAATAACATTTTAATAAAGTGAACAGCGGTTTTTTAATCCGATCATTATTTTAGTACACAATCTTCGACGTAATTTTTCGGGAAAAATCGAACTTTTTAGTGGAAAAACTGCCGTTTCTACTTATGACATTAAAACTAAACTTCAACCTACTCGTCTAGAAAAAAGTATTCAAAGTGCACATAAAACTCGTTTTTTCTCCTGACGTAATTGAATTTAAATTTATTCGTAGTAATTTGTTAAAGTCTCACTTGTAATAGCCGCTTTTTAAACTACTGTTTATTGATTTTTAATTTAAATTCAATTTTTTTGTTATACTCACATTTAAATTTGTTTATTAAACA